TCCTGCATGGTCTGCCCTCACTTACTCCTCCAGCCTTGTCCCTATGAGCCAGACATATTCACTTTTGGAACCTAACAACGACCCTGCTACCACAGGACTGCTACACAGGCTATTCTTTCTATCTGGAATATTTTCTGCTTCTCACTTATCTAGTTAAGATATTAATGTTCAACATCACTTCCTCATGGAAGACTTCTCTACTACTCTGAACTGACCACCAATCATGGCTAAAATTTTATACAATTTTTTTTAATGTGATTTAACTAAGACTGTTTCTCTTAGTAGGCTATCAGCTCTTCCAGGGTAGAATTTGTGTTTACTTTTGTTCACCAGGTATCATCAATATCCAGAATACTTCCTAGCACAAAATATAAGTAGATACTTTGTAAATGTTTGTTGAATGGATTAAAAGACAGAACAATAATAACATCAAATAACATCAAATTACATGATGAAATAAATATACTCAAGAAGTAAAATTGCATGAATAAGGGAACATTTCCCAGGATCCAAACATGTATGATTATATTTGACACAGTGTTGACAGATGGTATTGTTGGACACAAAAGAAACTATCTCCATAGTTACCTTTGCACTTAGAAATTTCAATCCATTTTTTTTTTATTTAAAACTAAATAGAGTCCTTTTACTACCTCTATAACTTAATTTCACTTGACCTATACAAGCATCTATACCAAGTACTACTGTTTGTGCCTCCTGTTATGGATATAAACATGACATTAAATCATTAATATGAATATTTTGAAAGCAATCAAAAAGTAAAAAGTTAGTTAGGCTTGTTTTCTTTTGACAATGGGGAAAATATTTTAAGAATGTATCTTCTTGTTCATATTAGGTAATGATTAACATGCTCCTTAAACTTTAGCATCAATTACCATTTTTTTAAATTTTAGACGTTTAGGCTGGGGGTATGGCTTTAGTGGTATAGTGGTTGCCCAAGCCTCCCATCACTGCAAAAATAAATAAAATAAATAAATAAGATAAAAGTAAACAAATTCAGAGGCTTATATTTTTTCTTCTCAAAGACAACTATTAGTAAGAAAAGAATATCTCTGTCCTTCCTTCAAACTTTTCCAAACTTTTACAGTGTATTTTTAAAAAAAAAAATACTAGGCTTTGCACCATACTTCCTATTATGGTACTTATCTGAATAAAATCTTATACAACTGTATATTGCTAATTCACATTACATCAATATGTTTACCCTTCTTGATTTTCTATTCTTTTTTCTCCTGTCTACCAACTATATTTAATTTACTGGAGTTTTCTCTGAAAAATTAAACTTATAATAAAATACATTAGAAAGAAATATGTATTTTAAAAAGGAAATGATGTATAAAATGTTAGAAAAGAAATTACAGAGTTCAGGAATATTACGGTACTATGATTATATACAGGATACTGTGAGTGTAAACCACTCTTTTCATATCAACCTAAGATTCAAAATGACTTGGATTTTTAAGGAAAAAATGTTTTTAATTAAGTAATTATACTAATACAGAACAGATCCTATCTGTTCATGACAAAAGCAGATCCTAAGTCTGTTTTTGCCATCCATTAAGTTACTAAAATATCAAATAATGAAATAAGCCTCAACTTAATGGTTATAGCTAATTAAGAAAGATTACATTAGAGTATATTTTATCAATAAAAATACACAAAAAAATCATCACTTTTTAAATTTATACCCCAAACTACTTTATTGGCTCTTTTGAGGCACAGGTCTCCACTTTCCCAACATACTTATAACCCTAAAAAGAGATTTATCATCCCCAATTAAAAGGCAGTAATCTTGAGGGGAATATTATTATTTTTTCCCCCACATTCTAAGTAGTTTCAAACCATATAAAAATTGTTTTTAAAAAAAATCAATACCAGGCTGGGCAAGGTGACACACACCTATAATCCCAGGGGCTCGGGAGGCTGAGGCAGGAGGATTTCGAGTTCAAAGTCAGCCTTAGCAAAAGGGAGGTGAGTAGCAACTCAGTGAGACCCTGACTCTAAATAAAATACAAAATAGGGCTGGAGATGTGGCTCAGTCGTGGAGTGCCCCTGAGTTCAATCCCTAGTACTGCCCCCACCCCCCAAAAATGAACACATTGCTTCCATTTTCTATGCAAACAGTAAACTGCTCCAGACAAAAGAAGCATTTCTGAGACACCAGTAAGGTAATCAGGATCCTCCCCACCCACTACCACCTCCTGAAGTTGACTCCCACTCACTCCCCCCCCCACCCTCAGGTTCTTGCAGCACACTTCTAATCTGGGGAAGAACATTAATGTGCACCTGGCTGAATGACTACGATATACTTAGCACCACTGCCAGGCATCAGGAGGGCTGAAAAAGAAGGCATGATACCTATTCTCACAAAGTCTACAGAGCACCAGTAATGTTGGTCTTTGTCCTTACTAAAACAGACTTGAAAGGACAATAACAAGTAAACAAAGTGCCTTTACTCACAAAATAGCTCAAGTTACATTATTTAAAAGTCTCCAAAAGGAGAAAACTGATGAAAGGAGAAACATTAGATGAGTGTAATTAACCATTTCTTTATTGCTATACAACTCAATGCTGTGTAGTAAACAAATAAGAGAATTTCAGAGATTAATAAGGATTGTTTAGGGTAAAAGCAAACAACTATATAATGGGGTGAAGAGACAGAAAATACAGATTATAAATAGAACTCAAGATTTTATTAAGGATAAAGACAAATACAGATAAGTATATCACTCAGTATTAATACATGTACATTGACAGACACTTGTGTATCTTATATTCTGTCCCTCTTTGTTTTGCCAGAGGGAAGGAAAGCCAGACTAAGTACATACTATAAACACCTCAATTTCTAAAACATAGCTCAGAAGTTACCTTAGAAAGAGCTCCAGGAACCATGCTGGGAGAACCAACAGAGTACCCCTCCCCCTAACAAAGGCTATGAAAAACTGCAAAACTAGGCCTTTAGAACAACATCAAACATAAAACAGCACTCTCAACGATGTTCCAGTTCGTTTTTTAAAAAAATCAATATATAATACATAATAAATAGGAAGAAAACATTGTTAAAATTTGAGTACTAAGTAGATTATCTGACATCTATGCAGAAGTGACATTAAGGTACACATTCAGCTATAGTTGAACAAAAGAAACAAAACAAAACAAAACCAGATTTGAGGTATTCCAAGCTTCCAAAGAAAGCAAATAGGGGCAATAGACAGTTCCTAAGCCTAAAGGCTCGCTCTTTCTTTAAACTATTAAAAATAAAAGGGTAAAAATTGTTCAATAACAATAGCCAAAACAAAAGTTCTCTTACAGTCTTCTACAAAGTTCTCTAAGTCTTCACCCAAATTATAGTTATTGCTTAAAAACAACAGATTGACAATATCTCTTTATAGTTTTGAAGAGTTAGATAAAAAATATAAAAGACCAAAGTTTCTCTACTGATTTTATTTTAGACATAGCTGATTACTGAGTTCAAACTGAAATGACAACTTGATGACAGCTGTGGAAAGCCTAAACAAAGGATATCTCTGGCTATTTCCTGCTATGATCTGAGTGCTGTGTACCCCTCCTAAATTCCCATGTTGAAATCTTCACCTTCAAGGCGATGGCATTAGCAGGCGGGGCCTTTGGGAGGTGATCAGGTCCCACAGGACAGCCTCCTCATGAGTGAGAGTAGAGGCCTGAGAGAGACTGCTTCCTCCCTTCCAACATGTAAGGGCACAGCAGGAACAAGCTGGAAGGCAGCCCTCACTACACGCTAGATCTGCGATACCTTGGTCTCAGCCTTCTGTCTCCCTATAAGCTATGCAATTTATAGTGCTTTTATAGAGCAGAACAATTGGATTACAGAAGCAATTTTCTATTTTATAGTCAAAAAGAAAATGTGATAATGACATTATTTTCAAAGCAATGACTCCCAAACCTTTATCTCCGAGACTCTGACCCTGCTTATCCAAACTCCCAAACACACACTGTCAACTTCCTACCAACTGTTTCCACTTGAATATTTTGTCACCATCTCAAATTAAACACTGGGTCCAAAAAAAAAAAAAAAAAAACCCTATCCTTCGTCCTTACTCCCTGCAAGCTGAACCAGCTTCCTATTTTGATTTTCCAATCCTGTCATTCTGCCTCAACTTCATATTCTTTTCATTCTGTTGTTATTGCAATGACCCATGCTGGGGATGTCACTGTCTGACAGCAGAGCACCCAGAGTTAAAAGAAAGGCAGACTACACTAATGAGATGAATCAGGCTTTACCTGTTGTCTTTTGATGTGTTCATGTTACATGAACACAATGTGGCAAATTCATTTCCTGTTTTATTCCTTCTAGTTTATGCTAACTACAGCCCTACACTGAACCTTTTAGCTATTCCTCATTCATCAGTTACTGGGGAGGATGCTGTAATTTCTCCTTGAAATCCATACCTAACATTAATGAAAAAGTTTCAAATTATTCAGAGGAGCATCTGTCATTACTTATTTAAATCACATGCTACTAACATCAATCTTAAAATTAAGGGTTGAACATCAAGTATTTTTTTTGCCAATTGTTATATATGAAAAACTATACAATATAGTTGATGACTCTTCTGACAGAAAAGTAATATTTTGTGTTCTTAAAACTCAAAACAGGGCAGATGGCACATTCCTGTATTCCCAGTGGTTTGGGAGGCTGAGATAGGATTGCGAGTTCAAAGCCAGCCTCAGCAACAGCAAGGCGCTAAGCAACTCAGTGAGATCCTGTCTCTAAATAAAATACAAAATAAGGCTGGGGATGTGGCTCAGTGGCTGAGTGCCCCTAAGCTCAATGCCCAGTACCCCCCAAACAAAAAAACTCTCAAACTCTGATTTATATGGAATTCCTTCTTGTAATTGTTACAATACAGAATTAATCCAAACAAAAATCTATATATCTCTTCAGGGTAACTTTATTTTAAACTCCACAGAAAGAAGTTGAAAGTAAAGAATAAATTTACCTTATTTTCTTCTAGAAATTTCAATTTGATGGAAACATCATTGCGCATTTTATCATATTTTTCCTTATGTGCTTGGAACAGATGTTGTGACTGCTCAATTTTTGGGAGGGTGTTTGCATCGCGTGGTCCAAGATTCAGTTCTTCCAAATCAGTGCGATAAGCATCATATTCGATCCTAGAAAGAAGAGAGTATGTGATGTATACAACAAAACAAAGAAAAATATGTTCAGGAGACGGGCTAGAAAACATAATATTTGGTCTCTTTATGTGATGATATATAAAGTATTCATAAAGGTTCCATACCTTATGCTTCTGAAATTGTTACTCCTTAAAAACAAAGAGCTATTAAAGTAAGAATGTGGAGGCCTAGAGATATGGCTTAGTGGCAGAGTGCTTGCCTACTACATCAGAGGTCCTGGGGTCCACTCCAGCACCACACACACAAACAAAAAAGGAAAAAATGAAGAAAAGGGAGGGGGAGAAAAAATACCTACAATGTGGGGAAAAGGCTGCTTCCTTCTTTTTTTGTACCAGGGATTAGACCCAGGATTGCTTAACCACTGAGCAATTATTTAGGGACAGGGTCTCACTGAGTTGCTTAGGTCCTGGCTAAGTTGCTGAGGCTAGCTTTGAACTCGTGATCCTTCTGCCTCAGCCTCCTGAGCAATGGCTTCCACCATGCCTAGCAGAAAAGCTGCTTAAACTCAAAAACTATTCCTCACAGAGTACACTATTATCTAAACAAGTAATTTCCAAAATTTAAAAACCAGTTTAAAAATATAGATGTCAAAATCTAACAGACATGGGGGGCTGGGGTCGTGGCTTAGTGGTAGAGCGCTAGCCAGGCACGTGCAAGGCCTGGGGTTCAATTCTCAGCACCGCATAAAAATAAATAAATAAAAATAAAGGCATTGTATACAACAAAAATAAATAAATATTTAAAAAAATCTAACAGATGTGAATACAAGATCAAGAGTAGAGATGGAGTCCCTATGTTAGTTGATTAATATTGATGAGGCATAGTAGGTGAGGAAAGTAAACACTAGAATGCTAAACTAAAACCAACAGACAAAAGAAAGTTACGCTGAGAGTCAGCAGACCTCAAAATGTGGTATAGGTCAGCAATGCAAAACAGCAATATAATGGGAGCCATAACTGTAATTTAAACTTCTAGTAGCTAGCTACATTAAAATGATAAATTAATTACACCTGCTTTTAAACAATATATTCTATCCAATATATTTAAATTATTATTATTGGAAAATGTAATCAATTCAAGAAATTGTTAGTAAGCTACTTCACATTTCAGAACTGGGAACTAAGTCTTTGAAATCCATTATGTATCTTATACTTCCATAACATCAAAATTTAGCTAGGTGTTTCGAGCTCTCAACAAACACATTGGGTACTATATATAACACAGCTCTAGCTAGATTTCTATAGTATTTCTATAGTATTAAGAATGTGACAATGCCATCTTACAGAGTACTTACCACTTGCATTCTGTGAAATGCCTTACCAAATATTCTACCACCATTAACTAAACTAGACCTACTACCATTACTCTGTGATCCACGGCAAGCACCTTATAATATCTCTATCACAGAACTCTTGTTAAATAGTGATTCATCTATCAGCACTGACTATTCAGTACTCAGCCAAGAAGTAGCAGAGAGACTTCTAGTTTAATCAAAAGCAGAATCACAAAGCACATGCCCCCAAACTAAAGCTTTTTATTCAGATAGTATGAGTCACATCTCCAGTTTGGGAATTAGAAATACTTTAAAGATCACAAACTATATTGTATGCATCACTTGAGAAAATCTTTCTCACTAAGCCTAATTTATTCTGAACTCATACTGAACTTAAGAAACTTGATTTTTCAGGAATAAAGGAGGATCATTTATTCATTAGCTGATATGTTGATTCATTCAACAATTATCAGGTGAGCACCTTCTGTTTCACTCACTATGCTTTAATGTAGAGCTGAAAATTTGAGCAGTGAGTTTATCCCCAAGAAGCCTGCAGTCTAGAAAAGGACAAGATTGCACATGATTACAAAAAATACTACCATGAGGGAGTAAGAAGTAATGGAGGTCAAGAGGAAGAATTAAGTAAGTAAGTATCTGGAAAGGCATGTCAGAGTAGAATTAAAATGCTATAATTAAAATCTGAAGGATGGTAAAAGCTTATTTGCTTGATTAGGGCAGGGAAACTGGTAGAGTATTCCAGGAAGAGAACAGCCATGTGCAAAGGCATAGACACCATTACACATTTAGGAATTAATTCAGCATGTTACATCCTGAAGTCAGAACATAATGAGAGGAACTAAAGTCAGTCAGGTAAGTAGGACTGAGATGAAGCAGCCCTATGACCCTGCTAAACAGTTCAGATTTAACCCAGTAGGACAGTTGATGGGAGGTCACTGAAGGATTTTGATCTGACGTGAAAGGAACATGATTCTATTTGTTCAGCATAGAAAAATCACTCTAGTGGTAGTCTAAGGAATTCAGGATGGACTAGAATAGACGATTAAGAACAGAAGCAAGGAAACCAATTAGATGACCATGGACACGCAGTGAAGCTAAGAAGACAGCTACAATAGATTTAATTTAATTTGTTAAATCAATGGATTCAGCAGCCAAACTCTGCCCTTTAATTGTTCTAATGTCTTTAGCTAGTACTGCATATCTTTGCGATCGAATTTTTCATCTATGAATGGGAATAAAAATCTCCACAAATCCATACATATACATGATTTTACATATATGTAGCATATGTATACGTGTGTGTGTGTGTGTGTATGTGTGTGTAAAGGACACTTGGTAATAACAAAAACCTTCAGAATGTTTATTATTATGGCAAATTAGAAGCAAGATAGCTATGGTATAGTCATTTAGTGACATGGGAAGGAAAATGTTTATAATTGACTAAGAAGTGAGAATATAAATCTATAAACATGAAATTAAAAAGAGGGGTTATGACCAGGAACAAACATACTAAAGACTAAGAAATAAAAGGAAAAGATGGAACTGAAATAAATGGTATTATGCGGTAATTTAATCTAAGAAGAAACATCCTTCAATAGCCTTGGAGCATATATCTAAACAGCAGTGATTAATTCAAACATAATAAAAGTTAAATACTGACCTTATATTTCTTAATTTTTACATTCAGAGTTTGTAGAAGGTATCAAAGTAAAAGCTCCCATAAGAGCTTCTCTAATGGTATGCATTACCACCAAGAAGGGAAGGGCACTAACTTTTCAAGGCTGCCGGTCTGTACTGGGTCTGTATTGGCACAGTTAGTGATGGTTACTCTATGGCTTATGTAAAACTTCTAGAGAACAGGTGTCAGCATCTGAAAAGTCTTGACTACAATTGACTCCCTTGTTGGTGCTGCTGTGGAGAAGAGTTGAATGGGCTGTTATAAGATTTTCTAACAAAAACACCAGAGGGCTAGGAAATACTTGTACACAATACATAATAGGGAGCATTAAAAAGCCACTCGGGCATTCGCCTAAATTACCATTTTTTGTGCTGATCAAATAGATGACCTTTGCCCTAGAAGTCAGTAAATTCTGGTTTTAACAGAGAAGAAAATTCAGATACTGAAAAATTTTAATCTTGGATTCTTTTTGAATATTATTCTTTGGTAACCAATGTTTCAGTGTTAAAAGTAGCCAATTCCTTGGTACTTCATAAAAAGTCAAATCCCAAGCTAAGCTTAATGAATAAGATCATATATTGTAATTTGAATTAAAAAAGGATAAGTTATGAAGTGAGATTGCTGTTAGTTTGTAAAGTACACAGAGAGGTTGTCGGAGGCTTCCTTTAAGTAACTGGCTATCAAGTACATAGAACTTGATTTATAATTTTGTTTAGAAAGTTTCAAACAAACCTAAATATTATAAATGCTCAGATCTTATACTATATTATACTTTAAGTTGGGCTTTTCATTATAAAATGTGAAAATAATTTTTCCTAATTATATGCAGAATTTTATTTTATTTTTTATTACTATCTTTTTGTTGCCACTGTTTTTTCTTTTTGCTATGTTGGGTATTAAAGCCAGGGCCTTGTGAATGCAAGGCAAGTGCTCTACCACTGAACTACACTCTCAGTCTAAAATTTTAGATTAATCTAGTTCAAGCTTAACATCTACTGATCAAACGTGAAAGAGTAAAATGGGTTCCTGTCTTGGCTTTGAAATTGACTACTGAGAGCAAAGCATGTAACCTATAGCCCTTACTTCTCTTCTGTAATAAAATATAAATTGTTTTATGTATAAACAGTGGCTTATCTGATAATTCTTGCTTTTTAAAATAGGGGCTAATATTTTTAAAGTCATACTAGAAATAAAGCTTGAAGAAAAAGTTAAAAATATATTTAAGGTTTGCAAAAAAGAAAAAAAGGCTAAAGAGAAAAACACTATATGTTAAGTGACATATTTCAGTTACTATTTCAGAATAGGTAGACAGATAATTATGAAGTTGAAAAACTAATCAGATTCATATAATTCCTAAATGGGAGATGGTGGAAGTTACTTTTTGGATATTACAAAATAATTTTTTACCTTCAAAACTCATAAATATAAGAATAATCAAAAAGACTAGAAAATAAGAAGCTTAAAATGATGAAAGCAATAAAAAATATTCTTATGAACAAATTAAGTCATTATGTAAGGAAAAGATAAACTTAGAATAACAAACAGAATTTATAGAACTGAAATGTTTCATTCATGTACACAATGTTTCCTTTGAAAAATAAAAAGTGCATGAAAGGATTTAGATGGAGACTGGAAAACCAATTACTAGGAATGTTACTAAAGGGGTTTCCATTAAAGGTATCTTCTTGATAAATTCCTTCAGGGTTAATGAAGGATAATAAATTCCTTCTTTTTCTTTTTTCCCACCTTTTAATTTTAATACCATGTTAGTAAATAATTCAAACAATAAAGAAAAGCAAAAACCCAAGACCTAAACCTAAATAAGCCACAAAGTTCTAACCAATCACATCTGTTTTTCTTCACTAATGTCTAAGTCAATAAGAACTTCCTATGTTAATGTTAAACTGAAAGTTACAGATACAGCATGGGACAGAAGAATTTCTTCTTGTGAAATGATCAAAAAGGAATATTAAAGTTTGCACCTTTCTTTAATTAGGCTATGAAAAGTATAACAGAAAATAATAATTTTAAGTGTTCAGGAAGCGGGTGAACTCAAAGGCGACTAGACTGATACTTAACATAAAAGTGACAAGGCATGTAGGGAAAAAACTGAGCCTGGAATTGAAAGCTGAAAAATACTATTACAAGTTTGCTACTTTTTTAGCATTAATAAATACTTATTAATATGCATGCTGTACACCTAACAAAATGGTTGATAGGGAAATTATATATATGCACATAAATGAAATGGAATGTATAAAAATGCTCATTATAAACAGTTATCAAAATATAAAATAAAACATGAAAAGGGTTTGAAGGTTGGTCAACCTGGATAAATGAAAATCAGGAGCAGGTATTCACAATGATATTCACAAAATCCTGGTGACAGAAATGAGCTTGTATATTCAGGAGGAACTGACAGTGCAGGTCTAGCTGCTGTGGAGCAGTGGGACTGCTTACTCATAGGGAAGCACAGGTAATGCAGGTGAAAGTGGTAATGAGGATAAAAGGTAATCTTAGGCCATGCTTTAAGCGGTCCTGGAAGGACACAGGGCCTGTGCTCTTCTAAGGAAGGTGGAGCTGAGAGATCCTCCATTTCCTATTCCCTAGCAGGCAAGTTTAGACACACTACCAAGGCTCCACTGGACATTCCCAAGGCAATGAATCAAGTATTCAGAGGTCTATTGGAAAGTACTTCTGGTAGCTGTGGTACCATCAAGTAGCAGGGGCATAAAAATCAGGGTACTGATCAGATACTCGTAGGCATTATTTGGCTTTGGTTCTTGCCTATTTCCAGAATTTTGTTTTCCCCCCTTTATGATAGCTCTGTGTGTTATCTTATAATCTTCCAGTATATTCCTTTTTTACCCTTATTAGACAGAGTTGGTTTCTGTTCTTTGCAACCAAAATTTTAACAGAATTATGTGCCATCTGTAAAATAGACAATATGGAGAAACTTTATACCTACCTGGCACTTTCATATTGTTTCACAGTCATTAATGTATCTTCAATTGTTTTATTCACCAATGTGTTCACACTAGCAATGAAAAAATTAATGGCCCCAAGAAGAGTCTCTCCATTTTTAGCCAGCAGCTTCTGGGTATCTGCATTATAGCCAAATTCTTCCTAAAATAAAGAAGTCATCTTAATTTACTGAGTGGTAAATGAGTAGACATGACTTTGAAAACACAAACATATCACTAATGAGAAAATATTTTCTTTAGAAATCTAGCAATGTAAGTTTTTCTTTCAGTCTTAAAATATATAAGAATTTACATCATGATTAGCTATTTCATTATCAAAAAAGTTTAATAAGCCAAAATTGTCATCAGCTTAGATGCATAGCTAAACATAAATGATTTTTAAAAGTTAAACTACTTTGTACTAGAATAAGCACAGCTGTTAGGAAGAAAAATATAGCAGATTATTAATCAAAGAAACTATAACTTTTACAACCAAATTAGGTAAAAATTGGTTAAAACTTTCAGACATAAAATATATTGTAATTTTTTATGTTTTGACTGAATCTCCTCAAAGTACAAATATTAACAAGACACATTTCTGTGTAAACTTAGCGACCAGTTGACTCCCAAGCTCAAGCCTATCTATGCATACAGCTGAGGAAGGATCACTCAACACCAGATTTAGTTCATTCTCTGAATAAACCACATCAGCTCAGCAAACATTACACACTACTCCTTCAGACACGGCAAAAACTAACCCTAAATATTTAGCAGAGGAAGCTTCCCAGTCCACGTTTCATTAAAACAGATTACTGAGGAACACACATCCGACCAAATTAAAATACTGATCATATATACATGTATATACCCATATACATTTATATGTGTATGCGTACGTATTTTGTGATGCTGGGGCTCAAACCCAAGCCTCATACATGCTAGGCAAGCACTCTACCACTGAACTACACCCCCCAACTCCAAAAGATCATGTTTTATTGTATGATAAATCTTCATCTTGAGAATTCTCCAGTTAATTATAAAACATTTCTCAATTTCACCTGAAAAAAAAACTAACTAAAATTATTTTTCTTATGCGAAAAGTATTTTCTATTTAAACTAGATCCATGCAACTCTTTACACTGGATTTGGTTTTCAAAACTGTATAGACTTTGATTGCAAATATTGGTAGATATAGGATTACAATAAAAGAATGACAATTAGTACATGTAAAAACTAAAATGAAAGGTAGGACAGCTGAAGATTTGTGACAAGTTTCTATAAGCTAGATTATACACAAAGTCTAAATAAATGTTACTGGAAATAGAAGAGTACAGGACAAAACAATTTTATAACTTTTAGAAAATATTAACATGCCAGAGACAGTGGCAGATATCAGTAATCCAAGCAACTCCTAGCAACTTGGGAAGCTGGGGCAGGAGAATGGTAAATTCAAGGTCAGCCTAGGCCACTCAGAGAAGCCCTAAATCAAAAAATAAAAAGGACTGGGAACTCAGAGATAAGTGCCCCTAATCTAATCCCTAGTACTGCCCTCCACAAAAAAGAAAATGTTAATAGAACATATTACAACTCTATTTCCTTTGATATTCATTAAAAAGGGCAAAATTCAAAAATCAACAAATAAAAGGATGAAAAATATGGAAGTTAGATAAATTCAATAGTGGATAAAAGGACCCTTTCTACTCACTGTAAAACAAACTATGTATCATTACACGATACCCCTCCCTGTAGTACTGTGTTCATTTCTAAAAAGTTCTCAATACCCACAATTATACATTAAACCTTCAAAATGCCCACAACCCCAATTTAACTACAGGAAGATGTATATAACCTAGAGAGCTATTCTTTCATAAACAAACAAACAAAATCATAGGAAGATGAAATTTCAGCAAATTGAAAAATTATATAATAGAATTTGGAATCCTAAATTTACACATGAGAACAATGGGCCTAAATACAAAGCAGGGAGGAAGAGTAAAGTGATGCTGTTTTATTTCATGAATATAAATCCCACCTGTAATTCTGGGAAATGTGTTTATAACTTAAGATTTTAGAATTGCAGATGTAGTTAGTGGGAGAGCTCTTGCCTAGAGCATGCAAGGCCTTGGGCTGAATCCCCACTACTATGAACAACAAAAACAAATACTTAAGATTTTAATGTATAATTTGAAAACTTCAACCGGCTAAAATAAAAAGCTAATTTTTTATAATAAGGCACATAAGCTATAGTAGTAAATGATATAAAATAATTAGAACACAATAATTAGAAAGAAATGAATATACTTATGTATATACATTATAAGTAAATAAACTTTTGGCACTGAAAATAAGAGTATGACTCAAACTTGAGTTGCTGACAATTCTTAGTATTCTCAGTTAGATAGGGATATTTTATATATTATTATAAGTTGTTTTAGCAATTACAAATAAACATAAAATAATCAAGCATATTTACATCAGGAGTAGGACTGTAGTTCTAATCTGCTACTTAAGATAGAAGGTTAATGCAATTCCTAGAATTAAAAATTTAATTTCTAAATACCATATACCAGTATACAAACTGACACACAGACCAACAGAACAGAAGAACTAGAAATAAATCCATATATCTAAGCCAAATGATCATTGACAAAGGTCTCAAAAACATATTGGGAAAACATCAGTCTCCTCAATAAGTGGTACTGGAAAAACTGGATATCCATATGCATAAGAATGAACCTAGACCTCTATCTCTTTATCATATACAAAAATCAACTCAAAATGTATCAAAGACCTCCTGAAACTAAGAAACTACTAGCAGAAACTATAGGAGAAACACTTTTAAGACACCAGTATAGACAATATTTTGAATAAGATCTGAAAAGCAAAACGAGACAAATGGCATTATATCAAATTAAAACACTAAGAAAAGGAAACCATCAACAAAAAGAAAACCTATAGAATAAGAGAAATTCTATATTTGCCAAGGGATTAAAATTCAGAATATATGAGGAACGTAAAACAATAACACCATTACCCAACTAATCCAATTTAAAAAAAATGGCCAAACAATCTGAATAGACATTTCTCAAAAGACAAGATACAAATGGCCAAGGAGTACATTGAAAAAATGGGCAACATCACTATCAGGAAGATGTAAATCAAAACCACGAGTTATCATCTCACCCCAGTTAGAAATACTATAAGCAAAAAACAAAACAAACAACCCCACACAGAAACGCTGGTAAGGATGTGGACAAAAGAGAGCTCTTATATACCACTGGTGGGAAGATAAATTACTATATCAATTATGGTATGTAGCATGGAGGTTCCTAGAAAAATGTAAAAAAAGAACTACCACATAACCCAGCAATTCCACGGGGGTGGGGGTGGGGATAAAGAAAATAAAGTTAGAATGTCAGACTCAAAAGGTTACATATTATATAATCCCATTTATATCAAATGTCCATAATATGTCATTCCACAGAGACATAAAATAGATTAATGCTTGTCAGGAACCAAAGGAAGTAAAGAATGGATGTGCATTTTCATTCTGGGATGAGAAAATGTTCTGGAATTTGACAGTGGTGATCGATGCACATCTTTTTGAATGTATTGAGCAGAAAAAACAAAAATCTCTTAAAGGAGATAAAAATGATTTTTATAAATGCCTACTTTCTGAATGCAACTTTGTAAGGATAAACTATGGTACATGAATTATATCTAAATATATTATATTATAAAATTCTGGAACATATCTGTGGAACAGATATACTACATACAAATTTGCCTTCTCTGCATGCACTGTCTGTGCCAAAATTACTTCCATGTAGCTAAATTACATAATATTCAAAACTTTTTTGATTTGGGGGAAGGGGATGTAGCTCTTTAAGTTCAGTGGTAAAGTGTTTGCTTAGCATGCATGAAGTCCTGGGTTTGAAGCCTAGCTCTGTGAAAAAACAAAAAAAGAGTTGTAGATCTGGGAACATTTTGTATTTTACATTTTCAGATTAGGGATACTCAACTGGTACACTATGCATGTATTCCAAAATCTGAAAAATTCCCAAATCTCAAATACTTCTGGTCCCATTCATTTCAGATACATGTAATAAATATAAAGTACCTAGTCTGTTCCATTTAAATTGTGTACTCAGTAATTGCAGCTGTTATTACATTCAGTTTCCCAAATACTATTTCTGTCTGTTTAATGGCTTAGTCAAAATTGAGTTTCAGTATTTTTCATTATTGTGATCTGAAGCCAAATTTTGTTGTCCAAGGTTTTAGGACAAAGGAATTTAATGTTTTAACTTATTGAATTCTTCAAGTTAGAAGTTTGTAGTTAAGGGATGTCTGTACCAGAAAGCTTCAAGTAAGAAACAAAAAAACAAAAACACCTAGACATAAAAGAGATCACAAGATATGCCCACACCGAAAAACAAAACAAAAACAACTACAACAAAACCAAAACACACATAACTTCTTTCTAGGCTGCTTGAATATCTTTCCTTCTCTCTTTACCAAAGTTCCATTTTCCGAAAACCTCCAGCTGACATATAGTCTAGGGTACAAATGGATTACTATGTTGACTAAAGTTAGTTGGACAGTCTTAAAAAATTACATGAAATACCTTAAAAGAATGTCTCAAAATTTCAATTATATAAAGCTGGGGCTGTAGACCAGTGGTAGAGCATGCACAAGGCTCTAGGTTCAATCCCCAAAACCCAAACTCCAACTGTATTAAGAATTCAGCAAATCATAAATGTAACAAATCACCTCTTGGACTATTCCCATTAACATTTTCTTCCATCTCTAATAGCTATTTTAAATAATCTTACATGGAGTTCTAGAGACTTCAAACTCAGGTCAGCAAAAGCATCTCCAAGTTGCCTTTGGGTGTGCACCATCTGGAAAAGCTGGGTTGACAATGTCTGAGCCAGTCTTAGAATGTTTTCATATTTTTTCTTGTTATCTCTTAATATATCAATCTGAGCTTCAAGTTCAAGATCCACAGTTCTTGAGCCACGGCCTAGCTTCTCAGAGATAATTTGTCGAGTACACTAAAAATGGAAAGATGTACTTTGTTTAGGAGAGGGAGAGAGAAAAGGAAAAACAAATATAGCAATCCAAAATACAAATGCTAAACATGTAGCATAAGTCTTTTTGTTTTTGTTTTTGTAGTTGTAGATGGACATCATGACTTTATTTTATCTATTTATTTTTATGTGGTGCTGAGGATCGAACCCACATGCTGGGCAAACTCTCTGCCACTGACTTACAGCCCCAGCCCGTCTTTTGTATTTTAATTTCAAGTAAACTAACCTAACAAACCGAAAGTTGCCAGCCGTTTAGCAATTTATCAGGACACAGAGCAAATTTACCAGATATGTCTAAAAACTATTACTAATCAGAAGAAGTTTTAAGATTCATCTAATTTATATACTGTCAGATAAATTCTCACATTTAAGTTTGGATAAATTATTGGACACAATAGAGATAGTTGGCATTGTTTTAAGAATAATACCAAAATTCTATGCTCTTATTGGGTTTCAAAGGCTTTGTTTTAGTCTGTCTTCCCCCTATGTAATTCTTGTGTATGAGTATATAAAGTAGGAATGAAGGGAAAGAAGGAAGAATGAAAAGGGAAGGAAGCAGGAGGAGGGGAAAGAGAAAAAGAGGGAAATTACAGATTACTGAGTTCTCCTTTTACTTAGCATGATGTTTAATTATGTTATTCTATTCTACACCTGAAATAATAATACAGAAGATATAGAAACCTAAAATGCTTTAAAATATATTTAATTTCAAAGCACATGAAAATAAGTTTCCAAGTAACATTTTTTAAAAAATATTTTTTAGTTGTTGATAGACCTTTATTTTATTTATTTGTATGTGGTGTTGAGAATCGAACCCAGTACCTCACACATGCTAGGCAAGCGCTCTACCACTGGGCCACAACTGCAGCCCCTCCAAGTAACAATTTTTGATGGAAATAGAAAATTATGATAAGGCTTTCATCATTCAATAATACATTTTAAAGGTAACTGTGTAGCATATCAACATATTCACCATTAAAACTTACCAAAAATATTCTAAAAATATAGTATCATAATTTAAAAATTTGCTCTTTATTATGTTTTTCAAAGGTTTGATTATAGAATTAATGTTTGTTATAGAAATTAAAACAATGCATAAAATAAAAGGTAAATTCCCTTTTCCTTTAATCCCATTAAATAGGCATCTATCAATAGTTTTGAGTATTCTAAATTCTAAACTCAACTTTAAACATATAATCAAACATAAAATGTTTGGAATAAATATGAGATTATTCTGTTACATATAAAATACTCTGAATGTTTCTTTTCTATTAAAATATCGTAAGCCCTTTTGTCAATATACATAAACCTGCTAATCATATATTTTTCCATTTAAAATTAAAACTAATTTCCTGACACATTCTCTTTTTTTCATCAACTAAGGATCTTTAGGAACAAACTTTTTTTTTTTAAAGGAATTCTTTTCTTAAAAAGTAGAAAAATTCTTAACTACATAGAAAAAATTATAATAAAAAAGTATAATAACCAGGTATGGGGGAACATGCCTATAATCCCAGCTACCTCAGAGGCTGAGGAAGGAGGATCCCAAGATGAAGGCCAGTCTGAGCAACTCAGCAATACTGTATCTCAAAATGAAAAATCAAAAGGTCTAGGGATGTAGCTCAGTGCTAGAGTACCCCAGAACTAAAGGGAAGAAAAAAAGAAAAAGAAAAAAAAAGTACAGGTTAAGAATAGAAGAGAAATAACACTATTACTGGGAAAACATACAAAACTGTCCTATGAGATAAAAATCACATAAAGAGAAAAGTTTAACTGGAGGAGATATGATGATTTTAAGGAGGAAAAAAAATCAGCAAGAAATAATTGCTTGAAGTGGCAATAACATAAAAGAGCTAGGTCACTCATTCTCACACTTTTCTTTTAGACCAGGATGTTCCCTATCAGAGACACTGAATTTATTCCCAAACCAAAGCATGTGGTTCCTTCCATAGCAACCCAGATTAGTATCTGTTGAAAGTTAAGAAGCCAAAGTCCTTTAAAGTAGATTCATAAACTGGGCAAAACTAAAGAAATGTCACCTGTTATTTTGAGTGGCCATTTTCTTCCCCCAGAAATAACAGTTACAGAAAGGCAGGAGGGCCAAAGGTTTAATGAGGAAATGTTTTTGTTTGCTTGTTTCCAGGAAGCTAGGGCAGTGAGATACTGATATGAGGCAAATTAAGGTGAATCTGGACACCTGAAACAAGTTTTGAAACTGACCTTACAGAACCTATATTCCAATAAAGGTAATCATATACTCTTTAAAAAATTAAATAATCTGGAAATAAGAATACTATACTGGCCTACAGGCAGCTTTGTGAAGAAAGTTGTAGTGAGAAGATATAAAGCTGTTAGGCATTGTGCCACTCATTAGGGTCTCAAAAAGAGTTTTTTACATAATCCCTAAAGAGTGAATTTTTATTTAAATCAATTTCTAATGTATACTGATATTAAAATGAAAATTTGTAGACTACTATATACTATGGAGGAAGTCTAAAATAAAACAAAATTAAGAATCTAAGTTCTCTATCCTTTGTTAAAGTCCTTGAAAATGTAGATTATTTGTAATGAGCTGGTAGTCCCATATAAATTAAGATTTCATTTTGAAGATAACAGCTTCCAAATGAAGCTAAGTTAAAGGGGTAGAAGAAAGGCAAAGTCAATTACTGATCCATGTAGATCTCCCAGTTGGAGCAGGACAGATGAAATAAAGTGACACATGGTGTGAAAATTACCCTGCATGTCACTGCATGAACTTACAAGATAGTGACTGTGCAAGAGTATTTAAATAGCACCAAGAGCTTTTTTCAAATGCTAAAAAATAAAGACATTTAAGTGCAAGCAAAAGAAGAAACACAGAGCAACAACAGACAGATTTTAAGAAGGTTATTACAATGAAATATAGAGAAGGGAGCATCAAAAAAACTTGAACAGGGAAAATAGGCCAACCAATAAATGAACGAGGCAATATGACAAGAAAAACAGGCAGTTTACAAGGGAGTTTAAAAGATACTGCCTTAAAGACAACAAAGATTAATTAATAAGAGTATGAATAAAAATGGAAAATTCTTAAATATCTTAAAAAATTTTTTAATATTTAGGAAAGAATCAAACAGCTCTAAATGCTGAAACTGAGATTAATGTTAAAAAAAGACTTCAAAAAGTACTCTATTGTAGACGAGGAAAAACAAAAGACGAAACAACATAAAATAGCTTATTATTTACAATTGTTTCTACAGATGAGAAGCATAAAATAAATTCTGGATTTGAATTTTATGAATAAAATCAGGTAGATTAAAATAATGCTTCAAAAGATGGGTTCAAGAGCTGAACTCAAAATTACTCCTATTACATTAGCTGGCTTTTAATTACCAGCCTGGTCTTGGGGCTGAAATTAACAATGAACAAATGAAGAACTAGATCTTCTTTTTGACAAAAGCCTTGGAGTATTTCTAAAGGACAGAAGAAATTAAAGACAGAAATCATGAAAGCAGGAAGATCAAAGTCATGAACCGAATCAAGATATTCAAGAATAATATAAAGAGGCTGAGGTGGAGGCTCAGTGGTAGAGAGCTTGCCTAGCATGTGTGAGGCACTGGGTTTGATTCTCAGTACCGCATATAAATAAATAAAATAAAGATCCATTGACAACTAAAAAATATTTAAAAAAAGAAATAATAAGGATAACAATCATTGTCCCAAATCCACCCAATCAGAACAAGTTCCTAAAGCATTATCCATAACAATGAATACCCAATAACAGGTACAATTTAGATCAAAAAGGTGTAAAAGAGAACAAAGAGAATCATATAGACCCAACAGGTCATTTTACTCTGAGCTTCCTTTGGTTGAGAGCTGTTTGTCAGCCTAGACACACGGGGCAACAAGCTCCAAAAAATCATTTGAGTTAGAACCCTCTTTTTCTCCTGTGACCTAAATTGGAATATCCAAATTAAGTTCTGATGAGAATTTTTCATATAAAAAAACACAACACCTCCTTCCCATAGTATACCATATGCACCACATTTTAAAGACTGGTCATTTTCATTTATATAAATTTCAGGAAAGGATAAATGTAGAATCTACATAATATTAATATTATGAGACAAATGTAGAATCTTAATAACGATTCAACTCAGATTAGTGTAGAAGTAATAAATGGAAGAAAAGAAACATAACATTCACAAATAGGAACAATTAGAAAAGGAACAAGAAAAAAACCAAATGAAATGAGAGGAGGGTTCAAAGGAACTACATTTAATAAATAAATGAATAAATAAATGGAGTTTAGTCTGGTATGAAAGAAACAAGTGAAATAAAGGGGAATTCCATGCAGTCGGCAGATAAGCATCATAAACAAAGTTACTCAAGTATTAGAAAGCATAGATTGCTTAAGGAAATCTTTGGGTAATTTGGTATGGATAGGATCCATAGACAGAAAAGAGGAGTAGAAAAAGCTGGAAAAGTAGACAGGGTCAGATTCATGCCATTCTGAAGACAACTGGGGATTGGCTGGAGGATGTTAAAGCAACAGTGACCACATTAGGCAAATGTAGTCCAAGAGAATTTGTTGAGAAGTTATTACAGTAAGGGTGGAGTGGGGGGATAGTTTGTGTAACAAAGACAAAACAATGGCTGTGAAGGCTGGGATGCAGAAAAGAGGAAAACATGATGGAAAACTAAGGAGGCAGAATCCATAGGATTTAATGACTGACTGAGTATGTGGGATCAGTAAGAAGATGGAGGAGACATCTGTGAATATTGGGTAAGCAGTTGTGATATGAAGGAATAGGGTAATTCCAATCTTTGAAAACAGAGCAATGACTTAAGAGAATGCCCTGCATAAGCTGGCATCACTGGCATTTCTCAGCTTCTACACTGTCCCAAGCTAAGTAACTTCTGGAAGTTATGGGTTAAACATAGCATGTTTCAGGGCACGTTTACCATCTGCAGAAAAACTGTAATTTTGTTGAGGATTTCAAAACATATTTAAAAAATAATTAACTGAAAAAATAAATTCACTGTTTTAAGAAGACACAGAGGAGAGATCAACTCTGTATAAAGAAACACATGATTCCTGAACTGCCAACCAACAGATTGACAAACAATTCACAACTCAAGAGTGTGGCTCATGCTCCAACCTAAGCTGCTGGGGCTTTCAGCCACTTACCTGTTCCATGAATTTAGTACCCTATCCATGATGAGTTTTCAAAATTACTAAGTGAATTTAGGGCTTGGGCTATTTATAATACATGAAATATATTATAGATTAAGTAATTTGCTTATTTATTTTATGGAGAACATAAGGAAAATAACCAAATACTCAAGCTATGCAATAACAATGTGGATAAAATTTTAAAACCTAATAAATTTACTGTGCTACCTATGGCTAACACTTAGTAATTATAAGAAGATACAAGAATTTCAAACCTTAGAGAATTAATATGCTTTCCCAATCTTTGGTTACTATAAAGTATTAAAAAAAAAAAAAGGCCTGGCACATGCCTATAGTCAGCTACTCAGGAGGTTGAGGAAGGAGGAACACTTGATCTAGGAGCTGGGGGCCATCCTGGGCAGCACTCTCTCTTAAAATTAAAAATAAATAAAGTATCCAAAATAGCGGGGTGGGGGAGGCAGAGGGGGCAAATATATCTGTAATAGCCCTATGGCTAAATAATCCCAAGGCAGTAAGTATATTTCTTCAAATATGTACTATTTGGCAGTTAAGAATTTTAATAGCTTTTCACTATTTTTACTGACATTTTAAATTATATGTAAATATCGATAATAAAACAAACATTTAATTTTCTAATTGTACTTTCAAATTTAGATGGTTAAATTCTTTTCTATATATTCATATTCATAACATTGCAATATAATAATTTGAATAAACATAAATGAAGATTCTTAGACCCATTTAAGAAAAATTTAAAAATTACAAACCTTATAGGTGTTTAGACTCCATTTTCTAACAAGTTCTAACTTTTCCATTGCAGGATTTTTAATTTCATCTGCTAGAATTACTGGTCCACTTTTTGTCTGTGTTCGTTGGCCACCTGCATGATCATAACAAAAAGACAAAAGCACCATCCAGATAAAGACAAGTAGGGAAAGAAAGAAAACAAAATATTGATGCCATTCAACTAAAATTACTTTACAATTAAAAAATAAAAAGGTTCTCACAAATTGTAGAACTAGAAATTCCTAATCACTTAAAAACACCTCTGTCCATGAAACTTAAATGTATGTCATGTAGTCTGTCTGTCTGGGGTGTTTTTTTGTTTTTTGGGGTTTTTTTTTGGTTGTTGTTGTTTTTGGTACTAGGGATTGAAACCAGGGCACTTTACCACTGAGCCACATCCCCAGCCCTTTTTTATATTTAATTTAGAGACAGGGTCTTGCTGAGTTGCTTAGGGCCTGGCTAAGTTGCTGAGGCTGGCTTTGAACTTGTGATCCTCTTGCCTCAGCCTTGGGAGCTGCTGAGATTACAGGCATGCACTACCATGCCCGGCTGTTATCTTTTAAAAAAAACTCTGCTGCAATCAACCTTCTTTTCTATATTGTTGCTATTTTCTTCACATAAAATAAAAATTTCACAACTTATCTTATAACCTGCTTACCCTTTAAAGAAACTATTTTTGTCAATGAAAATCCTTAACAGTGACCTCCTTCCACTGCATATACTATTTAGACCAGTTGCTATGATTTTGGATAAATTTTTAAAAATGATTCAAAAAGTCATTAAAAAATTAATGTTTTCACCATGAAGAATGATAAATGTTTAAGAACATATGTTTAATATGACTTAAACATTACACAATGAATACATATATCAAATCAATCACATGGTACCAGCTTAAAATGCACAATTTTTATATCATCAGTTAAAAAACACATTTTATTTAAATAATAATAAAAAAATCTCACCAGCAGTGTAATATGCTGAGTTGAAAAAAGACCTACACTGTACCTTTTCCTCAAGAGCCTCTCCCACAAAAATCTTTAAAAAACAAGGCATAATTAATAAAGGCATTGGAAAGTCCTGATGATATATTGTCCCAGCAATTGAGACTTTATGACAAAAAAGCAACTCTAACACTATATAATTTCTAATCACAAATATTTTTCATAGTAGAAAAAAATGTTTTATAAACATTTACAATATAAATGACTTGGGGTAGAAACTTTAAAATAATTTTTAAAAGCACAATAAAACACTAAGGAAAAAATTAAAACAAAAATGGTTTTAAAAAATTAGGATTAAGGCTAGGAGGTGGTGGGTATATTAGTGGTAGAACACCTGCCTGACCTGTGCAAGGTCTGGCGTTGGATCCCTCTCTGAGAAATAAAACAATTTTCTTCTCTCTCTTCTTCCTATAGCCAGCCCACCTTTAACCCAGCTTTATCACAAGCTAAGATAAAATCTGAGAAAAGTATATAAAATCAAGCACATTTAGGAATTTGCAAAATTCTCATAGAAACAAAATATTGTCAACATTCCATACCAAAAGAAACATGGAATTCATTTTTCCTGTTTCTATAGTCCAGCAACATTAAAGTGCGGAGCAAATTTAAAATGCAAAGATGTTAATCCTTCCCAAGGATTTTTTAAATTGGGCATAATTGGCAAATTGTATAGTATTTTATTGCAATCTGAAAACTATTTGTAAGTTGAGGAAGAAAATAAGACAAAATCTTTTCTACTTCCAATATTCTGTTCCCAATAATAACCACCCAACTGTTGAAACTTCCTTTTTTGTTTAACTGAAAACAGGACAGAGCTGCAAAGCTGGAAGGTTAGGATCCAGTCAGTGAACCTATATTGCCCAGAGCAAAGAAAGAATGATTTAAAGCAAATCACATTTTACTATGATTCTAACCTTTAAAAGGATTAAATTTCAGCGAGATGCAGCTTAATTACTTTGAAAAGCCAGAAAGATAGGCTATGGCTAGAAAGATTATTTCCCTATTGTTTTTAAAAAAAGCAGCAGCCACCAAAAAAGCCAGAATAACACACACCTAAGAACACAAAGCAAGTGATTATGAAACTGAGTGAATTTTAGCTTCAGCAGTAGCAAGGAGGCTTTATCCAATCAGTGCAGTGAATACCTGCAGGAACAATTAAATCACTTCCTTGTTGAGCCAGTCGACTAGCTGCAACCCTGCTAGGAGACAGAACAGATGGCAAAGGTGGTGCTGGGGAACCTGAAAAGGGCAGGGCAGACATTTAACCGTGAATATCCTTTTCCTCCTCCTCATACTATACGTTTTGAAATTAGGTTTATTGCTATTTCCTTTAAAATACGAAAACACTGAGATTAATGACTGGAATTAATATATTTGCTTTCTTTCAGAAAAGAACTAATATTAAATGGAGTTCTTATATAAATTTTTCATCAAACTATAAAAAGCAAACAAAACACATACCTATATGAAGAAATTTGGCAAGATCATATCTAAACAAAATTATTTCACCTGGACTCTGCTATTTTCAAAACCAAATAATAGAAAGTGATTAAAGTTCCACAATTGAATGATTTAAAGCTGAAGTAAATACTTCATAATGTGCTACTCTTTAAAATGAAGGAAAAACTTTTCAAGTAAATATCCGAAGGCACACAGGGATATGAAAGAATGCTTTATTATCTCTTACAGAAATGTGAATGAACTATGTCCTTCACTCGAGTCATGCAGGGCACCCACAGCAATTAAGTCACCTGGAAGCCTATCTAGAAACACAAAATCTCAAGCCCTGTCCCATATCTGCTGAACCAGAATCCCTATTATCACAAGATCCTCAGTACCTAGTTCCTTTGTAGGACTTGGAAGTTTCAGAAGTGCTGATGTATTTTCTGACTGATCACCACTTCCATAGTTTTTAAAACATTATCGGGATACTTTATAGATCTAGTGATCGTTATCATTAGTGAAACAGGCATATGTTGTTTTTTAAAAGCCAGTTGATTTTTAAACACAATCAAGTTTGATAACCAGAGGAAACAAACTGTTGAATGAAACAGTTTTAAATTCTGACCCTCCGCATGAAATTATGGCTGTTTACCACATAGTGCCAGGAACACATTAGTAGCAAATTATGTAATATCTATGAACCTTGTCATCACAGCATAAGAAATACTGACTACTTAATATTATTGCTAATGCTAAGTAGCAAACCAAAGAAAAGGGAGTAATCATTTAAAAGATGTTAAAAAAATAGCTGAGAATATTTAATGTCTGTAAATGTTCTTCCCTAGTTCTCTGGAAAATACATAATATATCAAATTCATAACTAAATTTTCTTAAGAAAGAATCAATAACCACTTTCCTTACTTAAAATAGTGGTAACTACATATTTCAGACACAGTAAGTTCTTTTTCTTTTTTCTTTTTTTTGGTATTGGGGCACCTAATCACTGAGCCATATCCCCACACCACCACCACTCCCTTTTTTTGGAGAAAAGGACTCACTACGTTGATTAGGGCCTCACCAAGTTGCTGAGGCTGTCTTTGAACTTGCAGTCTTCCTGTTTCAGCTTCCAAACTGCTGGGATTATAAGCATGCACTACTGTGCCTCGCAACAGAAACAGTTATCAATTCTAGTACCATTCTGAATTTGGACTAGATCTCACATTTTTGCAATAAGCCTACATATTGTCACTACATTTCAAAATGAGAGATACATGTGCCCTAAAGTCTGTTGTACTATAACATTTAAAACTAGAAAGGGAGATGAAAATCAACTAGGCCAAATTGTCAAATTAAACTGTAAGAGAAATGGGGCTCAGAGAGATTAAAACAGTTTCTTATTAGAGACTGAGATGTTCTGAATCCACACTATGATATCTTCATTATTAGATTCAATGCAGAAAACATTAATTATAAGTTACTTGCTGAGCTGGAGGACATTTTAGTAGGTTATCAAATCTGACCACCATTTTAAACAAAGACTATATCACTACTATCCAAGGCACAAGGGTTCCTATTATAAGGAAGCATTAAATAAAAGAAGACTACCATAGTTCATGTCTTGATGATCCCAGGAACAGAGCTGTAGTTTTAGTTATTACAGTTTATTAATCTTGCACAAGAAATAATATCATGACACAACATGATATGTGTAATATATATATGTAACTTTCCAAACTAAAATGGCAAACCATGGCGTTGTGCTAAGGTAATTGGGATTTCCGCTGTTTGCTTTACCTTCAAAGGTAATTATCACTCTTTGCATCTTTAGTATTCAGTATTCTAATCCTTTAAACTAGTTCAAACTAACCCAGAGTTACCAAACGGGTTACCAAAAGCATTCAGCAATACCCATTAAAAATAACAGCCAGCATGGTAGTGCATGCCTGTAATCCCAGCGGCTTGGGAGTCTGAGGCAGGAGGATTGCAAGTTAAAAGTCAGCCTCAGCAATTTATCGAGGCCCTAAACAACTTAGTGAGATCCTGTCTCTAAGTAAAATATAAAAAGGAGCGGGGATGTGGCTCACTGGTTAAGTGCCCCTAAGTTCAATCCCCAATATCAACAAAAGAAAATCTAGGATCTTGTTAACTGACTAAATTTGGGGAATTAGCTCCATTTCATCTCAACAACAGAAATCTAAGAAAGGAATAAATGGATTCAATGATTGAAACCCCCATTAAAACAAAACCCAGAAACGAAGCACAAGTCACTCTTAGGAGCTTTGATTTATTCATGAGTTCCACTATTACTAATTCTGCCACATCTTTGTTGTTAGGAAAATTTCAATAATAATTGTTTTTTTAAGCTGAATTTAAGTATAATTTCTTCTAAACTTGCTAAAGATAGTGATAAATGGGAAAGTACATTGTTAATATTCTTCTTTTAAAAAAATATTTTTATAGTAGATGGACACAATATCTTTATTTTATTTTTATATGGTGCTGAGGATCAAACGCAGTGCTTCACACGCGCTAAGCAAACACTCTATCAATTGAGCTACAGCCCCAGCCCCATTAACATTCTTCTTATAGTAACTGTTCTGCGTAATAGAGTCACTAAGTTATCTTTCATTCTTCCAGAGCTAACAAACAGCACTAAAATATCTAACATTTTTCATAAGACTTATTTTCTAAATTATAAGCATTATGTCGCTCTTTATCATATTCATATATAGAGAGAGAGTGTGTGAGACAGATATGTCTGTGTGTGTGTGTGTGTGTGTGTATGGAAGAGAGAGAGAAAGAGAGAAAGAGAGAGAGGGGCAGGCAAAGAGGCCCTCAAAACAACTACCACTTTCCAGTAAACACTCAATTGATCCACTTATCCCAGTGTGGCAGCATGA